TATTGATCTGTGAAATGCAAATGAAAACTAGGTGCTAGGGATGTGCTCAGGGTGAGTAAAATATAGACCTGGCCCTTGTCTTTGTGGAACTTACAGTTTAGTGGGCATCGACTTAATAAAAATTAGGTGGGGTTAATGCTATGTTAGGGCAAATACAGAATATGATGGGAACAAGTAGCATGGGCTTAAGTAGAAGAAAGGGCTTACTAGGGTCAGTAACAAATGGTTGCAGACAAATTGTGTCACGTCAGAAGTCCTGGAGACTGAAGAGTGGAGAATGCATTGTCAGTGGAATAAAGAGTCCAAAGGCTAGGGAAGTAGTTTGGGGACAGTTTAATAAAGGGTCTTGCAAGCCTTGTTAAGCGGTTTGCATCTGATGCTGAGTGGTGAAAACCACTGTAGGATTTTAAGCAGCCAAATACAACAATCATATTTTAGTTCGAAAGTGTAATAAATCTAAGAACAAAAAACTAGTAAAAAAAAATATATGAAACTTCAGATAGATTGGTGGACTTGCAGGCTGTTGCCTTTACTCCAAGCCAGAAGTGATAGTAGTTTATTCGGACACAGATTGTGGCAGTGAGGTTGGGGAGAAGTGGACATATTAGAGCAATATTGAGGAGGCATAATCAATGAGACTTGAGAACTGACTCAATGTAGGGGTAAGGGAGACGGAGGAGTTTAGGATTTGGTGTCCGGTAGCATCCACCTCTGGGAAAAGGAATAATTACCAGCAGGAAGATAGTTCAATTTGGGACAAGAAGGTCAAAGGACAACCAGGGACACAGTGTCAGAGAAACCAGAGAAGAAGTCAGTGGTCTATATGTCACATGTTGCCTTGAGTCAAGTAAAATAAGAAGAGCGAGCTGTCCACATCCATTTTACCAGAATAATTCAAAATTTCAGTCTGAGAATCAGATCCATTTAGTAACTTTTCTTTACACAGTTTGTAAATTCTGGAGTAAGAGTAGACGCTCACTTCTAATTTGTGACTTTGAAGCTCAGCTTTTCCCACTTTTTTTTTTTTAATTTTTTTGAGCAGTTTTGAGTTTACAGAAAAATTGAGCAAAAAACATAGAGAATTCCCATACACCCCCTCCCCCCATATATCCTATTATTGACATCGGGTATTATTGTGGTACATTTGTGACAATTAATGAGCAAATATTGATCCATTTTTTTTAACTCAAGTCCATAGTTTACATTAGGGTTCACTCTTTGCACTGTATGTTCTATGGGTTTTGACAAATGTATAATGATATGTATCTGCCATTCACAATATCATACAAATTAGTTTCACTGCCCTAAAAACCCCCTGTACTACACTTGTTCATCCCTCTCTTCCCCCTCCCCCACTCTGCCAAGCCCCTAGAAAACACTGAACTTTTTACTCTTTCCAGTTTTACCTTTTCCAGATGTTGTATAGTTGGAATCATACAGTAGGTAGCCTTTTCAGATTGGTTCTTTTCATTTAGCAATAAGCATTTGAGTTTCCTGCGTGTCTTTTCATGGCTTTATAGCTCTTTTTTATTACTGAATAATATTGCATTGTCTGGATGTACCAGTTTATTTAACCGGTCACCTATCAAAGGACATCTTGGTTGCATCCAAGTGTTTGCAATTATGAATAAAGTTGCTGTAAACAATCAAATGCAGGCTTTTGTGTGGTTAAATCATTTGAGTAAATACCAAGGATTGCCAGTTGTTGGATTATATGGTAAGAGTATGTTTAGTTTTATAAGAAACTGCAGACTGTCTTCCAAAGTGGTTGTGCCATTTTGCATTCCCACCAGCAGTGAATGAGACTTCCTACTGCTCCACATCCTCACCAGTATTTGGTGCTGTCAATGTTTTGGATTTTAGTTATTCTAGTAGGTGTGTCGTGGTATTTCATTCTTGTTTTAATTTGCAATTCCCTAATGACATATGATGTTGAGCATCTTTTCACATGCTTATTTGTCATCTGTTTTTCTTCTTTGGTGAGGTGTCTGTTCAGATGTTTTGCCCATTTTTTAATTTAGTTGTTTGTTTTCTTATCATTTACTGCTTTTACCCTATCAGTAACTTTATATTTAAAATGCATCTCTCCCAAATAGCTTAGAATTGGGTCTTACTGTTTTTGTCCTTCTGATATTCTTTATGTGTTAGTATGTTTAGTCCATTAACCTTTAATGTCATCATTCAAAAGTTATGGTTGTGTATTATAGTCCCTAGAGCAGTCACTAAAAAAAATTTGAAGGATATTTCTAAAAAGCAAATAGGTATATTAAACTTGAATTTCTAAAAGAAAAAAAAAACATCAAATAATAAAATAAAGTAGAAAAGAGGAAACAGAGGAACAAAAATCAGTGGGGAAAAAACAAAACAATTTAGTTGGACCTACATCCAACTTTTCATAGTTTACTTCATGTTAATATTGTGCAACTGGTTAAATTAGAAACTTTGCATTTATTCCTCTTTTACTGTCCTTTCTGTTATAGTTGTCAGATGTTGGTTATCTTCATAAATTTGAAACCTCACAGTAGTCTTTTGTATCCACTCAGATATTAACCTTTTTTTTTTTAACTGAGGAAGATTTGCCCTGAGGTAACATCCATGCCAATCTTCCTCTATTTTGTATGTGAGTCGCTGCCACGGCATGGCAGCTGACGAGTGGTGTAGGTCTGCGACTGGGAACTGACCCCGCGCTGCTGAAGTGGAACATGCCGAACTTAACCACTAGGCCATGGGGCTGGCCCCAAATATTAACCATTTTTGATACTCTTGTTTGATTTCTGAAGTTCTATCTTTCCCTCTGGTGTCATTGTTTCATTGTCACCTGGTTTCCATGATTTCTGATGAGAGTCCTTGGTCATATGACTGTTTTTCTTTGGCTGCTTTCAAAATATTATCTTTATCTTTATTTTTTGATAATTTGATTACAATGTGCTTACGTGTGGTAATCTTTTTGTTTATGTCATTTGGGTTTGCTGAGCTCCTTTAACTTGTAAATTTATGGCTTTTACAGAATTGGGAAGTTTCCAGCCATTATTTCTTCAAATCATTTTCTGCCCTATTTTCTCTTTTGTTTGCTTCCTGGGAATCCAATTATGTTATGTAAAACATTTTTACACTGTTCCACAAGTCCTTGAATTCTTTTTTCATCCCTTTTCTCTTTGTTTTTCAAGTTGGGTAAATTCTATTGATCTATGATCAAGTTCATTGACTCTTCCTATATCATCTCCATTCTATTTCAAAGACACTCCGTGAATATTTTTCAGATATTTTAGCTTTTTGTTTAATTTTCTGAATATTTTCCCTTACTATGCTGAGGTTTTCTCTATTTATTGTGAGCATATTCCCTTTACTTCATTGATCATACTTGTAGTACTGCTTTAAGTCCTTGTCTGATAATTCAAACATCTAGATCATTTAGAGTCTAACATCTGTTGGATATTGTTTTGTTTGTTTCCCGTGACAACAGGTCACATTTTCCTGGCACTTCAAATGTTGAGTAATTTGCAGTGTATTCTGGATATTATGTTACATTGTGGAGACATGGATTCTCTTATATTCTTCCAAAGAGTGTTGAAGTTCTTGTTTAAGCAAACAGTTAATTTGGTTCAACTCAAAATGCAAATGCTATCAGCCTAGCAGCTGGCAATGATTCAATTCTCAGTTGAGATTGCTTTTATTCTGCCCCATGCATGAATGGTTCAGAAGTCAGCCAATGTTGTGTAAATTTATACACAGAATTTGTGGTTTCTGTTCTCTGCCTGTCCCTTTTCTGGGATTTCCCACCCAGCAGAATAATATTTAACCAGCTACCTGGGCACCCCATGGCCCGGTGAAGTTACACATAAAATTAATCATCACACTTAATTAGGCTCATTGTCATGTTTTGAATGTTTGCTGTAAGAGGCACATTGTTCACTTAAGGAATTCTGGTTTACTATTCATCAACTTGCACGTAACTTAAAGTTACCAGCCGTTGACAACAGCTTCTTTCTGCACTTCTATAAGCAATCTCTCATATCCATCTGTATTTCTAATCCTTCTTTTCTTTCCCTAACAATATTGTCAAACAGAACTGTCTGTGACGATGAAAATGATCTATATCTACACTGTCCAAGATAGCTTTGAATTAGCCAAATGTGGCTTTGAACACTTGAAATATGGCTAGTGTGATACAGGAACTGAATTCTTAATTTTAATTCATTTTAGTTAATTTAAATTTAAACAGCTACATGTGGCTAATGGCTGGTGTATGGACCAGTGCTAACCTAGAACATGTTTTTGCTTCTCTTTTCAAAACGTATTAGCTAATTATGTGGCATATTTCTCTTATAATTTGCTTTGATTTATTCAGTTGGTAAATAATAATTTATGAGGTGACACTATTTGTAATATTTCATGTTAAACATGATTTTCACTTCTTTTCTGTCTTAGCATAATTTTTAAACTTTTTTTGATTTTTTTTAATATCTGAGAGTTATTGATCTCTTCCAACACACACACACACGTGCATGCACACTCACACACCCCCAGAGTCAAAATTCTTTTACCTTTGCTGTTACATAAAAAAGTAAAATAATGTATTCTCTACATGTATGGTCATTCCCCTTTTACCAATCTTTCTAAGCATGTTGAAATTATTATAAATCCATATTTTTTTTCATGGAAACCGTTACTACAAACTTTTAGTTATGCTGCATTTCTGAAGGCTTCTGATCCTCAATTATTTTCTGGAAAAATTAGTTTTGAGCTTGTCAAGAGCATCCTGCCTTAATCTCTGCTAATTTTCTAAGTGCTGGTCATTAGCACTGGTTCGATTCGATGCTGTTACTCTATTCTGTAAAAATAATAAGTATCTTTAAAAATAAGTCCTCACAATGAATTATTCTGTATGTTTAATTTTAAACTGTTGATGTGACCATTTAACACACTGATGGACGGTTTTTTGTTTATATATTATAAATTTTTCTATTTATTTCAGGATATTTTGATATTTATCATTTCAGGACCACCAAACAATTTTGAGAGCATGGGCTGTAAAAGATTTTGCTCCAAATTGCCCTTTGTATGTCCAGATATTAAAGCCTGAAAATAAATTCCATATCAAATTTGCTGGTAAGTTTAATCTCGAATGAGATACTTTGAATTTCCTCAAACTCCCATTGTGATTGTAAGGGTTATGTCTCTGAAGTTAGTAGCAACTTAATATATTCATGATTCGGTGAAACAGAAGGATTTCTTTTTTATCATCTACTTGTTATAAGAGAATTTATTCAGTTTCAAATGTGAGAAGATAATGTTTTGGGATGAATCTTTACTTCTTTATATAATTTAGTGATTTTAGCAACTAAACTTAGTGGATACCTTGGTAAGCCTAAATAGATTAGCACTGATTTTTTTTTTTTTCATTGTAGAGGTTTATTTTTTTATTTTTTATTTTTTTAATTTTTTGTTTATTGCAGTAACATTGGTTTATAACATTGTAAAAATTTTTGTGCATAATAGAGACACAGATTTCAAATGCTATATCAATTAATTTATGGTTAACGTTTACACATAGATAGATAATACTTTGCTATAGATTATTTAATATACCTGTAAACTTACCATCAACAGAGTCATATTTTAAAATGTATTCAAGTACATTTAAATAGGTTTAATTTGGGGGTATATTTGGAAAACAATTCAAGAAAAGATGTATGTGAGTTTTTCATGGAGGCACTGCTTTTAAAGTAATTATTCACGTATGTGAATATATGTGAAAGTATGAGATTATACTTTAAAATGTTAGGAAATTGAACAGTAAAATGATATTTTATTTTTTTCCTAAATGCTTCTGTATGAACTAATTTTGGTCCAGGCAGTAACTTACATACATTGTTTTTTCAAATATAACAACCTTGTTTTTTAATATTATATTTCACTTTAACAGCCTAAAGCTTCAAAAGCCATTAAAATGTAAATCATTTTAACTATGTGTTAACAAAATGTATTTCCTTCAGAAGATGTATTCACATATCTTAAAATGCTTACCTATTAGTACATGATGTTTAAATGAAAAATTATAAACACTAAGACATTTTTAAGTAATGATAAGAAAACCGTAAGATTATTGGTATTCAATGTGCTCTGTCTTTTATCTTTTAGCCTCGTTACTAATGACATAAATTTTTTCTAAAAATGTATAGCAAACAACTTAAAGCAATAGCTCTCAACTTTGGCTGCATTTTAGTATCTCTTTGGAAGATTTTTTTTTTAAGTGCTCGTCATAGATATTCTGATTTAAATGTTTGAGATGGTGCCAGGGTTTCTTTAAGCCTGTTCCCTAAAGTGAAAATTAAAAATAACGGTACTTTCTCTGTAAACGACTTTGTGAAATTAAATGGAAAAATACATGTAAAGTACTCTATTTAATACCTGTTATATATGTAACTAGCGTTTAAGAAATGCCGATTATTTATCAAAAAGACCTTTGCCACTAAGCTGCCTTATTTTTATTGTTATTTAGCAAAAGGAATATTTTTGCAAATTTTTATCATATCTGGTAATTACTTGCTATGAAAAATTTTTAGGAAGGCAGTAATGTTATAAACACTGGGCAAAGTTCTAAACATATGAATTTATATTCAAGTGTCACCACTTAAGATTTAGCTAGGCAAATTAGTATCCTGAGCCCTATTTTCCTCTCCTGTTACATGGCCATAATATATGATGTCTGTATTCTATTGGTTAAAATTGGCAGTAAGGATTAAATAATGTCTGAAACTTATTAGGTGCTCAATAAGTGGGTATTGAATGTGGATCTTAAACTGTAGTTTGGGAAGACAATATGTAATTTTGAATGTGTTAAAACTAAAATTCAGAACAGACTTTAGTTCTTCCTTCTTTAGCAAGCCATTGATATGCTCACAACAGATAGATGAAACTCACTGAAATAGTCTACTTTTACAAACGGAAAATTACAAAGACTATTTGCATTGATTCTCTTTCATATTCTTATTTTGCCATTATTTTAGTAAACTCATTGAAATGAATGGAACATTTAAAAGTTGTCTCCCAATGGTTTATCTCAATATTTTTCATTTATGGCACCTGCTGAAATTCCTTTTCATAATGTCTGTATTCTTTTATGGCTGAGATTACAGCATCTCAGAGGAGCTCTCTTTATGTTATGAAAAGATGAAAGCACCCTAGTTTCATTCAAATGCCATAAAAAGCAGTTTGGGGTGACACATGAGACTCTCAAACCAATAGAGTAGTATATTTTATATCTCAGCATGAAGTTAAAAAGGTTATGGACTTTACCTTTCCAAAACCAGTGTATGAAGCCGTCCCTTAGTTTGTGTGGTAAACTGTTACAATAATGTTCGTCACTGAATCACGCTCCCCGTGTCTGTGTCCTGTTCTGATGTGACTTTGCAGTTTATTCCACAAGGAGGTGAAATATATCTCCCTCTTTGAATATTGGCTGGTGTTGTGACTTGCTTTGATCAATAGAATGTGACAAGAGTTATGCTGTATGACTCCAGAAGCTACACCTCAAAAGGCCGTACAGCTTCTGCTTTCCCTTCATGGGAACACTGCCCAGAGACTGCACGTGAAGAATCCTCATTTAGCCTCTGTAAGGGTGAAATTCGCGCGGAAAGTGATGCTCATCCGTCTCAGGCACCTCACCTCTCTAGCTCCCTCTTTACCCACTAGCCAACCCAAGGAATCAGGCAGACCCAGAGAATTCTGAGAAATAAAGTGTTAGTTGTTTTAGGTCACTAAGTTTTATAGTTATTTGTTATTTAGCAATAGGTAACTAATGTAGTTTGTAATAAAATAATAATTGCTTTAATCTTAAGTCGTATTCACTTGATAATATTCACTATATTTTAGTTCTTGTATTCTCATGAGTCTTAATGGCACAATTCCAGTTATCACAAGATATAAAATGAGATATTTTTATTTCCATTTATTTAAATAGCCTCTTCAGGGCCGGCCCCGTGGCTTAGCGGTTAAGTGCGCGGGGTCTGCTACTGGCGGCGCGGGTTCCGATCCCCCGCGCGCACCAATGCACCACTTCTCCCACCATGCTGAGGCCTCGTCCCACATACAGCAACTAGAAGGATGCGCAACTATGACATACAACTATCTGCTGGGGCTTTGGGGAAAAAAAAAAAGGAGGAGGATTGGCAATACATGTTAGCTCAGATCTGGTCTTCCTCAGCAAAGAAAAAGAGGAGGATTAGCATGGATGTTAGCTCAGGGCTGATCTTCCTCACACACACACACACAAAAAAATAAATAAATACCTTCTTCAATACACCCTAAATTGTGGAACTGCTACTATGATTATAATTTATGTATTTTTAAAAAGTAAAATCCATGTTTTCAAAAGATGAAAAAGAGAAACTTCAGAATTTGACTTACAAGTATATAAAATATTGGAAAGCAAAAACAATGTAGCAACCTAGCAACTGTTACTTTATGCAGATCTACCATTCATATCATTTATAGTCCTTTCCTCCTAAACGAAGTGACTGTAGGCATTCATTAAAGTATTGAATTGTTACACTATTATTTGAATGAATTATTATGTTAATTATTATACTCTTAATTATAATTAAAATAATCTTCTGCACTTTGATCAGAATCACAGGGGAAAAGTCCATATGGACATGATTTCAGCTATAGAAAAGATATGCTCTTACTCATATCACCAAGAGAGGAAGGTAAAAATAGTAAGCCTAGAGATAGACAGAAGGAATAAAATCCTCAGTAGAAAAATAGTTTTGAGAAGAGATTTCTTCATTTAAACCAACACTACAATGTACAATGTACTGTATACAAGTACATTGCAAATTGTAATGAGACTCAACATTCAACATAAAAATATATGTCACAGATAATTTATTTTTAATATCACAAATTTCCTAAGAAGGAAATAAACTCAAATTGGCTCTTAGAAAAACAATGTTTACTTTCAGCAATTTATCCTTTTTATGATAAATTTGTCAAAGTAAAGAGATTTATATTGCAAATTCTGGATTGAGATCATCCTCAGTCAAATTTTCACTCTGCTGTATATTAACTGAATGACCTCAGGCTTCCTAATCTCTTTAAGCTTGATTTATATGATATGTTAAATGAGGATAATAAGAGACACTATCCCATAAGCTGTTATAATTAAAAAAAAAATACTCAGAAGAACATCAACCACTAATAATTGGTACCTATCAAATTGATGATTATCCTTAATCTTGAGTGCCTATTTCTCACCCTCCAGACAAGTCTGTATTATCTTTGTTTCCAGGAAAAGTAACTGAGAATTGCCTGTGATGTCTTACAAACAGCTTATTATAGACATTCAAGAAGCACATAATTCTCAGCATGCACATATTTTCCAGAGAGTAGAAAAAGAAAGCTATCTCCCCAGCTCATTTTATGGGGCTAACATAGTCTTGATACAAAACATTAAGTATAGTATCAGAAATGATAATTAGAGACCAATTTAATTGATTAATATAGTTGAAAATTATATGAAATATGTTAGCAAAATTAGCAAAGTAATGTATTTAAAAAATAATATATCATCACAAAGTTGAAATTATTCCAGAAATAGATCATGTTAAAGGAGAAAATATTATCATCATTTCAATGGTTACAAAAAAAATTTTTAAGAGAGAATTCAATATCCATTCACAATTTAAAAAAAAGAAAAAGAAAGAAAGAAAAAGTATAGCTTTCTATGGGTTAAAGAACTCCTTAACCTAAGGCAAGTAAGCTAAAAAACAACCTAGAGGAAAAAAGAATATTTAATGATCACATATTGAAAGTCTATCCTTAAGATTAGGTACAAACAAGGGTGCCTATTAATACCACTTTTACTCAGCATTTTCCTGGAAATCCAAAGGAGTGCAGAAAGGCTGCAAAAATGAATAGAAGAATAAGCATTGGAAATCAAGAAATAAAATTTCCATTATCCACATTTCATAAGATTCTCTACAAAGAAAATTCAAAATAATTTTATTTTTTCCCTATATATCTTTTCCTTAAGGGAGTTCATCCATTTATATGATTTCCAAAATTAAATCTTTCCCTCATTATCCACCATGAGCTCCAGCCTTGTA